TCAGAGCACAAACCAAGCATGAAGTTAAAGGAATTGTCTGTAGACCTCCAAAACAGGATTGTCTCGAGGCACAAGTCTGGGGAAGGGTACAGAAAAAATTCTCCTGCTTTGAAGGTCCTAATGAGCACAGTGGCCTCAATCAACCACAAATGGAAGAAGTTTGGAACCACCAGGACTCTTCCTAGAGCTGGCTGGCCATCTAAACTGAGCGATCGGGGGAGAAGGGCCTTAGTCAGGGAGGTGACTAAGAACCCGATGGTCACTTTGTCAGAGCGCCAGCGTTCCTCTGTAGAGAGAGGAGAACCTTCCAGAAGGACAACCATCTCTGCAGCAATCCACAAATCAGACCTGTATGGTAGAGTGGCCCGACGGAAGCCGCTCCTTAGTTTGGAGTTTGCCAAAAGGCACATGAGGGACTCTCAAACCATGAGTAAAAAAATTCTCTGGTCTGATGAGACAATAAAGATTGAACTCTTTGGCGTGAATGCCAGGCGTCATGTTTGGAGGAAACCAGGCACTGCTCATCACCAAGCCAATACCATCCCTACAGTGAAGTATGGTGGTGGTAGCATCATGCTGTGGGGATGTTTTTCAGCGGCAGGAACTGGGAGACTAGTCAATATAGAGGGAAAGATGAATGCAGCAATGTACAGAGACATCCTGGATGAAAACCTGCTCCAGAGCTATTTTGACCTCAGACTGGGGCGACGGTTCATCTTTCAGCAGGACAACGACCCTAAGCACACAGCCAAGAAAACAAAGAAGTGGCTTCAGGACAACTCAGTGAATGTCCTTGAGTGGTCCAGCCAGAGCCCAGACTTGAATCCATTTGAACATCATGCACTGTATCTGTCTGATTTTGACTGTAGTCTGTTCATTGCTATTCACCTGTTGTCCCATTGACTGTTTCGTGGTGCGATGACGGGACCTCTGAACTTGGCTCCCTCCATCTAAACTCTGTTATTATCAAAGCCCGCCAGCTACTTCCGCCACTTCCGGCGCGCACCAGGACTTCTGGTCTGAGGACCCCTGCGTCTGAAAACTAGAGAATGTGCGTCTGGTGAGCGAGGCTTCAGCGTTTCAGCGTTGGCGGTCTGAAAGCAGCATTAGTAATCCCTCCTGTGTGAAGGGGAGGTTCTGCAGATCTTTCCTTCCTGCTGCTGTCAGACTGTACAACAAACAATGAGGACTAATGAACACTGCAAACCTGATTTCACATGTCACGTGACGGTGCTATATTCTTAACTAATATCAGAATGTGCAGTAACCACATGCCAGTGTCACTTTACTGAGTCCCAGAGCCTCATGCTGCTAATGTACAGATGTAAACATATAATATATTGCTTGCACTTGAATACACAGTACTTTATACTTGCCTCTTATTTCGCCAAATGTATTTTTTTTTATACTTCTTTATTATTATTATGACGAATAAAGGATTTCTTAATCTTAATCTAACCCACATTGCTTAGAAAGAGTCTGGTGTGTGCGTAGATGATTGGTGGTGGTCACTGGCACATACTGGTTGCCTCGCTTCTGTCATTGTGCCCCAGGGCAGCTGTGGTTACAGTAGTAGTAAATCACTGTGTATGGCATACACAGTGATTTACAACGCTAAGTTCCAGATGCGTGTCAATACTGAGGAGCTGAATGAAGACATATGGAATTAATGACATGTGAAACGTCTTTGAGTGTCTATATTTCGTAAGAAAGTATATGTAATAAAAGTGTACAAGTTCACTATCAAAAATGCTATACCCGTTTTTTTTTAATGATTTAACCCTTAAAATACGATGCCATCGGCGTTGATGGTTGCGCACAAACGGTAAAAGGTAGCAACGTACTTATTTTCTCTCTCTATGAAGTACACATTCCAGCCTTTCCGAAACTAGCTTTGGTTTGTCTGTGGTACGTACGGAGGATAAACTACGTATGAAAGTCAGTTCCCCAATCGGATCTTCGAGCGGTGACCCCTGTTGTGATTTAGGGCTCTACAAGAATACAAATAACTAATATTTAATCGTTACAGCAAGGTAGGAGCATCTATTACTCTTGAGGACATTTTCGAAGAGGGAAATATACACCAAAACAAAATATGTTTGAAGCCTACACATGTACACGTTCTCCGTCGTCCTCATAATTCTGTTGTCGTTTCTATTTTGAGCTTGGTTCACAGCAGCAGCAACATTTGAATATTTACATAATCCAAAACATTACATGGCCTGTAAAATATTCAGAGTTTCATAAGGATGATTTCTAAGCCTTTTGGCCACGTTTACAACGACCTTTGTTAAAAGAATAAGAACTGAACGAGCTGTAAATCAAGTTACAGTTAAGTTTTTCTAATTATTGTGGTGTGCGGTTTGTTCCCCTCTCAAACAGGAACTTTTTGCTTTGTTGTTCTTTTCAATAGAGAGGCATAGTCATATGGAAGTCATATTTTTGGATCACTCTAGTCATTGCATTACAATGAAGGTTACAAAATGTTATATTTTTGCACACTTTGAGTCTCTATTTTACTTAGAACTGATATTCTGTGTAAGGGCGGTCCTCTTGCTTTCACTTTTCAGAAAAAATACACACATGTGAAACTCAGTGATAGAACCAATTTGTTTTAAAGTCGGAGTTAGATGGATAGTTAAAGGTTTTGTGACTTGAAAGTTGACGGGTCAGACGACTCCTTTACAAAAGTGTATTTAGGATGGATACCGTATTTTGGATTGCCACCAGACTCAGAATCATAGCATCCACGAAATGATCAAGGGCCAAAGCACGACTCATTTACACAATAGTGAAGAAACACATGAAATATGAATCATCTTTATCTTGTTGGACTAATATTTAAACTGTCAGAAAACTGCTTTTCTTGACTTTGACATCACAGGCAGAGAGGTTCCATTGTAGAAGAAGTCTCCATTACCTCCTGTATATTTACTATCAATACTATGAGTGATGGATGCACATCTTCTGAGCAAAGATTGAGTTTTGATTGTATTTTTTATGTACGATGGTCAAAATATTTGAGATTACAACCATAATAATAAAGTGAGATTATGAATTATAGAACTGTAGTGGTTCATCTCATGTTTTCTCATGTTTTCTGAAGTGTTATTCGTTTATTGGGGGCAATTTTAATAATGTAACTAATTCCATATGGCTGTTCCCTCACGCTCACAAATATTACTTTATACATTTTCACATATTTTCGTATCTCATCACATTTTATTCATGAGAAAAAGTGTGATACAAAATAAACTTTACAATGAAAGATCCACTGGTCAGAAACTCATTAAAGTGAAAGGGAAAGTAGATGTGTATAATGGAAGTGAAAGATTCTTACCGTCCAGGCCCATGTCGCTGTGAAAGTGTCATTCAGAAAGAAAAGAAGCATCCTCCTCTTCACTTCCTGGTGCAGACTCCACCTCTCTGGTCTGACATTCAAATAAACAAACCATCCATGCCGGCCTCTCAGCAGCCAGAAAAATCATAGATGATGTGTCACTCACTCTGGACATTGCTTTTATGGAACTGTCTTCGGTAAAAATCAACAATGCGCCATCCAACAAAATTGACTTATGGACACAATAATTGATCATCTTAAAGTACTCTTGTAACGTTTTGTATGGTGTATTAGCGTCACTGTACATGTACAATCCGGTTGGTGCACTCTGTAAATGATTGAATTAGCTGGATGTTTGTTCTTATACCACCAGATAGAGGTCTCTACTCAAGATCTATAATTATCCATACATTAGATTTGATATTCCTAGACAATTTTAAAATGTTAGATTAGAAAAAAAAATGTATACTTAAAACTGGGGTACCTAATGTTAAGCTCAATCAGCTTCAATCAGCTTCAAACACAGTGTCTTTGTGCCTTGGAGCTCTAATCAGGACAAATAAATAATGTTTCAATATTTTTTTTTACAGTATTGTACAATAATTCCTGCTATGTAATGTGTTTAGTGCGATTAAAGTGTCTGATGTAATTTAACGCGCCAAGTGAAGGGTAAAGCTGTGTTTACTTTGTAACAAACAAGTATCAAAAAACATTTGTTGAAAGAACATGAAAATAAATTCCATTTGAGAATTAGATTTTTATTCAATTTATTGGTGACATCACAATCGACTTGGCACAAAAAATAAATCACGTGTAATCAACTCAACAACGATTTAAATTTCCAAACAAATAACCCCATAATGGATAAGCTTTCATTCATTATTGTCATTAACAAAGAAAATGATATTCATGTTAATTATAACAAATATATATGTATTTTACCCAGAGTATTCAAACATTTCATCCAAACAAAACAGTTTGTAAAGGAAAAACCTGTGAAAAAAACCAAAACTAAATTAGAACACAAAATTCGCCATTCAGTTTGAATTATACTTCTGCATTTAGAGATAACTGTTTAGGGTGACGAGTATAAAAACTTTGTTACTGTCAGTGCTGTTTCCTATAAACCACAGGTGCCCACACTTTATGAAACCAAGATCTACTTTTACATTGAGTCAGATTTATGAAGGGGGTGTCACAATTCAGAATATCACATTTGCTTCAATTCATGATGAGAATGTTATTCATGATCAAGTAATGACTGTGTTGTGTTCATTCCATAGACTTTTGATTTGGCAGGAAAGAGATGTTTTTGTGCTTTTAATTGTAAATGTCACTTATAACACTCACATCTCGCTCACTACTGACTACTTTGTGCATGTGCTCGTGGAAACTTTGTTTTTCTTTTGAGGTTGTTTTGTCAAAAAGCATTAAGCAGCAGATACGTTTACAGACATGTTCAGCTGCGGCTCGTGTGTAAATGAATTAAAACGACTCGAGCGCACAGGCTCAATGGGGAAGATAATTGCTCTTGGCACATCTGTCTGTTACAGATTCACATGTTTTTGTGGTTGACAAAATTGATAAGTTTACTTTATTTGTACAAGTACATAGTTTGTCAGGGCCTAACGTCCTTCTCTTACTCACCGCATCTGGGCCGTTACGCACACGTGGGCTGAAAGACACACAAACAGCAGTGTTACACACATTGCACACACTAAAGCTGCATTACTGGCGTTACCATGGTGCAGCTGCTGCCGACGATGCACAGCCTGAGCTGACAGTGCAGACTGAGACCAGCAGAGGGCGCTTCAATGAACTCAAACAGGCGAAAGGCAAAGACTGAAGTCAGTGACACGCCGTTCGAGATGATGTCCACGGAGTCTTCAGAGTTCTCACATCTGTGGACACACAACACACACAAGTGAGAGAGCGCACAACTGCAGCCACACAACACACAAGTGAGAGAGCGCACAACTGTAGACACACAACACACACAAGTGAGAGAGCGCACAACTGTAAACACACAACACACACAGTGAGAGAGCACACAACTGTAGACACACAACACACACAAGTGAGAGAGCGCACAACTGTAGACACACAACACACACAAGTGAGAGAGCGCACAACTGTAGACACACAACACACACAAGTGAGAGAGCACACAACTGTAGACACACAACACACAAGTGAGAGAGCACACTGTGGACACACAAGTGTGAACTAGAAGTAAAGGAGGTGTACACTAGGGCTTTATAGTCACTAATAATTGTGCACTAAGTAGTGAAGGAGGGGGACACCAGGACACAGCTGACCACAGGACGTGCACTCACCCCTGTGTGATGATGTCATGACGGGGGCTGTCCGTGGGTTCCGTTGAGGGTGTGGCCCAGCTGTCCTGGATGAACAGAGCCAGGTCCGAGCCCCCCACGCCCTCAGCCTCCAGCTGCACCCACAGCTTCTGGTTCAGTAACAGAGTAGTGTCCTGCCCCACGGCCATCGAGAGGTCCTCGTCTGTGAACAGGCTAATGGTGATGTTGTACAGGAACTCTCCAGCGGGGTAGACCAGGGTCACAGAGCTGCAACGCACAAAATACACACAAAATGCACAGTTACACACAGTCACACACAATTTCACACAGCAATGCCCAAATACACACAGTTACACAAATAGTTATACACTATGGCTGTGCTATTTTTGACAAAACACCTAAATACAATATTTCTGACCAACATTGCAACTGTTTTGATTTTGATATCTTGAATGTCCATGAAGACTTGTTTTGCTAAGTGTAGTGTTAAAAACTTAAAGAGTTACATTTTTAAAAGTGTACTTATTTCCATATATTTTAGAAAATGTTCTTACATAGTGCACAACCATTTTCATCAATAAAATATTGACTGCCAAAACAATATTATTTATGTATAAATACTCAACACAAGCAGATGTTTCAGTTTTTATATGTTCTCACATTTATTTTGTGATAAAACAGTGAATAAACTTCCTCTAATTTCCATGAGTATGTTCCAGATACACTTTCAGACACTGACCCGTCTGAGATGGTGATGGTTGCCGTAGTGATCGTGGGTTTGTAGGCACAGGACAAGTGAATGGACAGTGGGTTCTGGTACATGACGACATCCGCAGAGCTATTCACAGTGTTTGAGATGATGTTGGAGAAGACGACCTGATCTGTAGTGTCCTGAAAGAAACACAAAACACCAACTTATGAAAGTGTCTGTCTCTGCAGCTCTACAGCGCCCCCGTGTGGAACAGTACTATAATTTCCCCACTGTGGGACGAATAAAGGATCTCTTATCTTAATTCATAGCATTCTTCATTCACTCTGTACTGAGCTCTTTGGGACCTCAGCTCTTTGGGACCTCAGCTCTTTGGGACCTCAACTATTTGGGACCTCAGCTCTTTGGGACCTCAGCTCTTTGGGACCTCAGCTCTTTGGGACCTCAGCTCTTTGGGACCTCAGCTCTTTGGGACCTCAGCTCTTTGGGACCTCAGCTCATTGGTGAGAGTCCTATAATATTCACCAAATGCAGCTCATAAATAAAAGGACTCACGTTGATGGTGCCTCCACACAGGTTGGTGGAGCTGAAGTCTAAGCGGAGGCTCTTGCTCTGGTCCTGGGACACTGAGGTGCAGCGGGGGTCCAGAAGGTGCACAGTGGAAGGCTCCACCCCCTTCTCCTCCAGAAAACAGGTTAGGAGGGAGGCGGAGACAGAGGCGGAGTCACAGCTCACATCACCTGTAAAGTGAAATGTTCAATATACTGAATGTATTATATACTATATTATATTAGTATTATTTATATTATATTATAAGTGTAGGATGTGAAATAAGGAGAGAGGCGGAGCCAGAACCCATCACAGAAGCCCCTGTCAGACACCACAACAAAAGTCTACATGTTTCAGTAATTAGAATATTTACAACTCTATCACGTATTTTGAGCACCGATGTCAAAGATGTCTCCATACCGTAAGTGCCGGCAGTCCTGTAGGGCGTGGCCACGATATCCTGGCAGAAACATGCCGGATCACCCACGGCGTTAATGGCACAGAACTCATGGTCAGCACAGGCGTGGTCCACACAGGGGGACAGTGCTGCGGGCGAGCACAAGGATGAGTGTTGTGTCCATGTGGTGTATATATATATTTATTACACGGCTCCTCACAGCAGCAGTAGAACGCTCCATTGATCTGAATGTCATTTCAAAATGTTCTACCGGTCATTATTTCTTGATAACCGACCTCTCAAAACAATAATGACCGCTGCCCATGGCAACACAATCTCTGCTTCTAATTCAGGTGTGTAGATTACTCCGCAAGTAGTTCCGGCCACTTCCTCCCTAGCCACGCTCAATAAACGCAAATACCAATCAATCAACACATTTAAATGTTAATCGGAGAATACATTAAACATTTTGCGCCCCACATTCGTAACACACAACAACTGACAATCACATGTTTCACATCCTCGTGCACAACTCTCAGGTTTTCCACTTCAGAATTATCTGTCAACACATGTCGAAACAAATGTTTTAATGAAAAAAGTACTGTTTTAAACACAACGCTATAAGGCTGGTAACGCTAGCTCTAATACTCGCTGACCAAGCCGCAGACGAATGCCAGAAAACAAAGCCGTAAAACATCAGCGTTGAAGTAAAAGTCGACTTACTTTTGCTGTTTTTTCATCACAAGTCATTTCCATAGGAATAAAAGTCCGTTTTTTCTTGTATTCAACCTCATAGCGAGGCTTTCTAGCGACCTGGCAGATACCAGTTACTTCCTCCTTCTGTAAGAGGCCCTTTGTGATAGGCTGCACCCGTGCGTCATGTCACGTACCTCTGTGTATCTCTTCCTGTGATTGGCCACAGGTGCTGTCCATCAATACGTTTTCAATGGTTTTTGATAGCCGAAGGTGTGTTCTTTCCAAAATGGTATAACATGCCCTGATTGGCCAAAGTACCGCGGAGGCGTGTACATGCGTATAGTTGGGGCAGAAGGAGGCTGTGCGCAAACCTTTACGCACGGCAGGTACTCGGAATTTTGACGAAATTAAAAATGGCAAAACAGCGTTATACACGCGAGGAGGTTGTAGAGCTTCTTGCTAGGGAACCGGGTGCCAAAGTTTATCTCGATGACTCTACAGACATGTTTGTGCCATTTGGCACAATTTTGGCACAGTTGGATTCCGCCTGGACTTTTTTTCCAATTCCATGTACAACTCTGCAGTGGTTTGTTTATTTGGCACAATTTTTGCTGGACTGGTCCAAAATATCGGGAACTGTCAATTTTAGTTCTTTATTTGCTACACCACAGACAGGGAAAAAGCTTTTTTGAGGGAAAATATGTGTTTTTTTTTTAGGCGGAAGTTAGAATTGTCTGTTTCAACCTAATTTTATTGGCAACCAATACAATTTATCATCTTTTTTCACTTCCACAGCAATCCCCAAGGTCCACCAGGTAATTTGGTACCAAGTTTGGCCACATATCTGGCCCCTAAATTAAAAAAAAAAAAACTATATGAAACCTGACAAAAAAAGGCCTCGATAGTGGTAAACCCGGAAGTTACAATTAACATGAAATCACATTTTAAGACACATTTGCAGAGGATCAAATTATGGATTAAGGTTGAGTTTTTATATGGGTCACTCACCACTGATGTTCAGAATTCTTTGTTCCGTTTTCATTTAGAGTTCTAGTTTGGAAGTAGTTTTAGGCTAACTGTTATTCGCCTGCCACGGGAAAACCTTTTATTTTCTGTCATTACATAAACCTTTCAGCATTCATAAAAGTGGACTGAAGTTTATTTTGTGTCTGTTCGGTTTAGTACAAAGCCGTATAATAAGAGGGATAATGTATAGTACACAGGTCATTATCGGAAAATAAGTACCAATAGGACGAAGCGGACGCGCGTCGGGGTCTGTGTACTGGGTGCAGCTCTGACTGCCACCCCCCCGATCCAGAAATGGATTAAGGGGAAGAAAATGGATGGATGGATTGATATACAGTATAAAATAATGAGTAATGTCATGTTGTTTTGGACTTGTCTTGGTGATAGAATAAATATTCCCACCACAGTTTGCGGCGCTCCTCCACTCGTCGCCAAAGCCGCACGTCGTGGCAAAGGCGTCTTTCACGGCGCAGAGCAGACCGTCCTCCTCCGGGTACAAACACAGCAGGTCTCTGGAGCAGCTGTCCACAAAAGGAGCTATGGAGAAGTGGCATCCGAAGGCATCCTTCAGAGACGTGAGCTCTGCACTGCACCTGTGGCACAACACACACACCCAGGCCCAACACATCAGCTGCACACTGTGTACTCTGGTAATACATGTTTTACTATGTGAAATACTTTTTAAAGCTGGGGTAAAAAACACTGAGACCACGAGACTGGAACGATACACTACAATCCATGTCACAGGTCCTTGCCTCTTTAACAGTTTGGTTCTACCACTAGTTTTCACATGCATGTATTTTGTCACATCAGACTTTTAAGAGAGTAAAGTGAGACACAAAATGATGTTTTCTCAGCCCAAAGCATCATTTTGTGACACATAGGGCCCTTTCATACAGTATATACAAAAGATAACATGATTTAATGATTTGATGAGGACAGCATGTTGGGCTGGTTTGTTCACAGCATTATGCTTAAAGAGAAACAAAATGAAGGTATCCCCGCTTTAAGTGGAAAATGTAGGGCTAAAACTGATGAATTGAGATGCCAAGAATGAGCAGCACTCCCATCTAGTAGCACAATACATCTTAGTATAGTATTTAAAAAAGATAAAATAAACTTTATTGATCTCACAATGGAGAAATTTACGAATTCAAATTGAAGATAACATGGTCTAATTCAGGGATTCCCAATCCAAGGTTTCAGGTCAGGACTCTTAAAAGAAGTATCAAACAGACATGAGACCACTGTGGAATAATACCATACATTAAAATACAATGCATCCCAAAATCAAAACAAAATCTTTGCCAACAGCAGATTAGAAAATCAATCAATGCTTTGAACATCAAGAAACATAATGAACTTATATTTGAACCATGAAAATATTATGATTTTGGGCGAACACTTATTTCAATAATGATAACATGAAATGCTTTGTCTGAGGGTCTGTCATAGTGTTACGAGTTTGAAACCAGAGCATTCAGACAGAAGGGACGGGGGGAGTTCCTGATGTCTTGGAGCATAGATAAAGGTGGTATCAGTGAGTTCTCAGTGTGGGGCAGTTTTACCTCTCTGTCACCGCGTCACAGTCGATGTCGTCTTTGTCTGAGTCTGGGACGACGACGTCACAGCTGCAACAAAACACAGAGGAATGGTACTGAAAGAAGCGCACTATAGCTCTACAGCGCCCCCTGTGTCTCATCGTTATATAGTCAGAACACTGGAGAACTCAATACTGATCTAAAACAATGTTATGATAGAGCACTTCTGTATTCAGTCCTGCTGTATCGCTCTGAACTCTGCCCCTTTGTGCAGTGTCACACAACAAAGGCCCAACAGGCTCCACTCAGACAGCAAATCAAGTTAGCAATCAGCATTGTTTTTTCCTTTGTGAAAAGATTACTGTGCATCTGCCAAATAGTTGAACAGAGTAACTGTCGAATGGTTGAACACAGTAAGTAGAAGCAGTGGCTGTGGTTCGAGAAAAGAATATAAAAACTCAAGCAACTGCAACTTGGTCATTTCATCTTTTTGAAAACATTTCTTTGTAGACAAGTCAAGAAGAAAACAAGGATGTGTTTAAAAAGGCAGGAAAGAGATTCAGCACAGAGCGTTGTGTGAGGGGGCAGGGGTGGTGTTGGTCTCACTTGTCTTCAGACAGATTCCAGTCAATATTGCTCCCGGGTGGAGCAAAGCCTTGGCAGAGGCCGCTCACTAGACTCGAATAGCGTGGTGCTGGATCCAAAACAAGAAACAGGTGTCAACAGGTGTTCAAAAACATCAACGTTGACGGATTAGTGTTAATTCAGACTTTGAATAAATAAAGACACAAAAATTATATTAAAGCTGGGATGTGTAACTTTTGTTTCATATAAAAACCATAAAGTCTTGCAAAAGTAAAAAGCTGAAAACAAATCAGACCACAATGTGCTGTCTTTATCTTATGAAAAAACAAAAAGCCCTGGAAGTCATTATTTTCCTTTTCGGATAAAAGTATTTAGGATTGGTCCTATTGACACTTTTCTGTCTGAAAAATGTGATCTAAAGATGTGACAGGCCAAAAATACTTTCATGTGAAACCTGTTGATAGAACCGCACTGCTTTAGAGCAAGAACTTTAGCCTATTACTTTCTTTGAAAGTAAAGTCTCCTATAGCGTTAATGTTACGTACTATGGTTTTAACATTCTCCCTGAAACCTGATTCAAGGACAATGTTAAAGAATGTGATATAGTGTCTAAATAAGTAGAGCAGTTTGGATAAACCCGTGTCATGGACTTTACAGCCCTGGGCCTGGATATTGCTTCCTGTTTGGATTTTGTGTGTTTTTTGTGTCTGTGGCAACCCCTCCTCTTTCGATATCCCTGGCCTGTGATTGGAGAACCAATGGCCCTCCCACCTCCCAGAAGTCCATGACTCAGGTGCTGATTGGAGGAGCAGCGGTGCACCTGGCCAATCCAGCTTCCCCTCCTGGAGTCACTCTCCCACTTAAGGCCACACTCCACATCTGTTCGGGGCTGCCAGCCTGGGTGTGGCTGGTATGCCATTTGTCCTCACAAAAATGTTTGTCATTGTCACAAGGGGTGACAATGACTTAATAGACGGTTCTTATGGTCTGTATAGATTATATTTTATTGGTCTCATTTTTAGTTGTCACTTTGAGGTTTTGTTTTTGTGACAATTTGCATTTGTTGAGACAGCAGTCAGTTTAGTGTTTAGTTTCTTTGTGTATAAATGTTAAGGTAAAGTCTAGGTTTTATTTTGGTAACAGTGAGTTACCCCCTTATGGCCTGTGTTGTGTCCTTTTGATTTATGTCAACTTATCATGTACTTGCCTATTGTTAAATACTTGCTTTGCCATTTAACATCTTGGATTTTTGTGACCTTCCTCACCCTCGCTGAGCTGGACCATTACAATGGAGAAAGTAATGGATGTTGAGTTTTGAAATACTCCCATCTAGTGGTGGAAGTGAGACATTACATCATGCAGATCCCACTGTACAAGAACATCATTTGTCTTTAATAGACTCTGTCCACATTCATCAGAATGTAACTAGATTTGAGTGATTCGACAGAAGGGCAGTGTTTGTGCCAGAAGTTCCTGAAACTAGTGCGGATGGAACTACACACATTGTTCATTTTGAATCAACATGTGATCCTCTGATTCCTAAAAGATGGGAGCAGACAGCACTAATTGGACACAGAGCGTTCTGTGAGGCGACACTGACCCTTCATGTTGATAGACAGCAGAGTCCCGTCGTACAGTACAGTGAAGGAGCGTAGGGTTGAATCAGTGAAAGTAGCGCTCACTCCGCGGGGGCTTTTGGAGAGCTCCACACCGTACAGAGTCACCACAGACGAGCTCAAGTCCACCTCCACCTCCTCACCGTTTTCCTGTTTCTGTGGTCAGAGAGAAGCTTTAAACACAGAGAACAAGTCCAACTCCTCAGTCCACACCTTTCAGGCCTCATGGTCTGACAGCAACAGTTTAACAACGAAAGAACCAGTCATTTCTTTTCTGCTTTACTAATCATAATAATGTCTAACAATAATGTTGACTTTTTTAAACACTTCATTTGCAGTCTGGTTTAGTATGTTGTAGTGTTTTTAGCGTGTTGTAGTGTGTTTTTGATTATGTGGTATGTGTGTTTTTAGCATCCAATAATGTGATGTGTGTTTTTTAGCATCCAATAATGTGATGTCGTGTGTTTTCAACAAATAGGGGCCTCACCGTCAGCACCACTCCTCCGTGTTTTAGCGTCACGTATCCTGTCGTTGTCAGATTGACGCTCTGTAGAAATGGCACCTCAGTGTTTCGGCGTGATGCGTAAGAACCCGTCACCGTGAAATCGGGCGACAGCAGCAGTGTGTTATTACAGAAGTTTGAGATCTGGTTGCTCATTTGGGTAAAGTCCACCATGCTGTTCCCAAATGCCACACACGTGGTCTCCATTCCACACCTGAGACACGGACATGATACTGATGAGTACGACTGAAATACGAGTTAAATACAAAATACAGCAACTTGAAAATACAACAATAGGCCTCCCAACAAAATCACATTCAAGACCTGCACAAGTATTGTAGCGTGCTGGATTTAAGTAACCAATATTCAGCACTATCTGTTATTTTTTTGTCCTTTTAAGAAGATCTTCGGAAATATTCTTTTTTTCAGGTTTGAGAATGTCATTTTTTAATCAGAAAACAAATGGTTGTGTGGTGATGTCTGTGTAGATATAGTCGACATGGAAGTCATAGTGGTGATGTCATAGATAACTATAGTGGTGTGGTGATGTCATAGTAGGCATAATAGACATAGATGTCATACGCACAAGTTGTCTCCAAAACAGCTTTCACTGTCCAAGCAGGTAGGGGCCGGAGCGCTCCACAGCCCCGTGGAGAGGCAGGTTTGCTCCAAACAGAGGTCAGTGACCTTGGCGTTCATCCAGTAACTCTGGTCTGAAATCAACAACACACATTTATTTACTACGACTGTGGTCACACCCCTTCATTCACTGGTGTCCAGTTTGAACAGCTCTTCTATCTTGTGTTGTGTTGTGTCTCATGAGTGTAGAAGGGTTCCTACCTTGGTGCTGGCAGCCAGTTAGATCCACTGCTAAAATGCCTCCACCCGAATAAAGAGTTGCAGATTGGTCAGAGTTCACAATAAAGTCCACATCTGTGTTCTGGAGGTAAAGATCAGACAGTATAAAGTAATATCAATGGGCTTAAAATGGATTGGAATAGATTAATGTGCATCAATTACTTAATAATAATAATATTATTAATATTTATTTAAAGAATTGTGTTACATACGTCAAGATTGCTTGAAAATGCAGCGGCCTTGCTCCCATAGTTTAACAGCTGTATATCCTGTTGGGGTAAAACAGTTTTATTAAAAGGAAAGAACAAACTCAAAACATACCAAACTTCTGTCTGTGCAGCTCTGCGTCGCTGTTAACACAGTCACATCAAAAGCCCTGCAGGCTTCGCTCACACCACGTACACGCCTGAAGAGAACACAGTGCATTTTGTAGATTTTACAGGTGTAAGACTTACGCTGACTCTTGTCGCCATGTCTAAAGTCATTTTCAGGCGAATGCCGCAGGTCGAGGATGTGGAGATGTGGGAATAACTTTCTTTGATCACAGTTTCGGCAACTGTCAAGTCTGAAATGACTTCCATAGTGACCGTCTCCGCCTCCAACGGCTGTTTGATATCAATGAAGTTCACCAGAGAGCTGCCATTCATCCTCCCAAAATGGATGCTCAACTGTTTGTTGTCGCGGAAGAAGAGCTGTGGATGAAACACACCACCAGTTTGTACTGAAGCAGAGGAAACACATGACATTATTTGGCTGATCTTTCTTTCAGTTGATTGATTAGTTCTTTACATCCCAAAAGGTCAATGAATATGGAATTTTTACACATTTGACCAAAACACAGCTCAGTATTGTGTTCTTTTCTGACTGTGTTGAGTGAGGGTTGGATGAGCGTTGGTTGATGTATGAATGTAGGTTTTTTCTTTTTTGTACATAATATCATTAGCAAATCAGTATTTAGTATCTTTTCTTTCAATGTATTCAATTCTATTATTGAGAAAACGCCATTGTCATACAAGTTATATACATTGTATTTGTAAAGTTCATTGGTGTTTTGTAAAAGGGAAAAACACCAGTGAACTTTACATGTTCATTGGTGTTTTGGAAGCTGCATTAGCTTATAGGCGGGGCCCCAAAAACAATCCATGTAGAACAAATCTATCAATGTTAAAATTTGTTGCAATTAACCGGTTCACTTGTTGCAGCCCTACACACGACCCTGTTGTACTGAAGCTGGTATCCATATTATTGAACACACGGTATTTACGGTATTCACATCTCGAAGACAATTCCCACCCACAGGCTAATAGTGTATAATTCTACAACTGTCTAATATATTATTTGTCTGCGAATCCCCGGACACCCCTCGAGCCTTCCTACTTCTCCATCATGGTGCCCAGAACTGTGGGTGGTTCCAGTGCAAATTACAAATACAATATGATTCAGAAACTATATAAATGCTGAATGGGATGAAATAGAATAAACAATTCTATTTCCCTTTCTTTTGGAAATAGTGGAAATAACGGAGTAAAATGCTTCTGCCTCCTGCCTGTCATGAAAGCAGATTAACTAGAGGTTAGGGAAAAGTTAGAAAATGATTCTGAAAAAGTTGAAATATTTACATTTCATTTCATTTACATTAAAAGGACTTGAATTCAGGTTATTATTATGTATTATTGCTTATATGATATATTTTGTAAAATTCCACTGGTTCAAAGACAACTACGCAACAAGAACTAAGCTAGTCTCAAACTCTGATCATAAGAACCTGAACCCAAGTGGTTTGAAGGAGCGGATAGAGGTGTTCTGTTTCATATTGAGGTAAAGTTCTGACCTGGAGCTCGGTGTAAATTGTTCCGTAGTAGGCGATGGGACACATGCTGATGTCCACAACATTTGGCCCATTAAAGACTTGTGCCCCTGGAAAACACCAATATTCGTATCACTGTTATACAGACTGTGCTGATACAGACTGTTTTATACAGACTGTTCTGGTCCCTTTGGTTAAATCATGACTATACAGACTGTGGTTCCTATGGTTACATGCATTACAGACTTTGTGTTTACCTGAGAACAGGAGCTGAGCAGAGAGACTGAGCAGCAGCAACAGCATCATGTCTGAGCCTGGAACACAGCACTGCAGTTATTATGCTTCATATAGACTGTTGTTTGTTATTATGCTTCATATAGACTGTGTTGTTTGTTATTATGCTTCATATAGACTGTGTTGTTTGTTATTATGCTTCATATAGACTGTGTTGTTTGTTATTATGCTTCATATAGACTGTTGTTTGTTATTATGCTTCATATAGACTGTTGTTTGTTATTATGCTTCATATAGACTGTTGTTTGTTATTATGCTTCATATAGACTGTTGTTTGTTATTATGCTTCATATAGACTGTTGTTTGTTATTATGCTTCATATAGACTGTTGTTTGTTATTATGCTTCATATAGACTGTTGTTTGTTATTATGCTTCATATAGACTGTTGTTTGTTATTATGCTTCATATAGACTGTTGTTTGTTATTATGCTTCATATAGACTGTGTTGTTTGTTATTATGCTTCATATAGACTGTGTTATTATGTTATTATTCTTTATACAAACTGTATGTTATCTTGTTTTTTTCCTAATTCTTCCTCACTGAAAGTTTCTCACTCATTACTATTTGCTCAAAGCCTCAATAACAGAGCAAGACTTTTTTCAGTACTTAAACTAATCATATTCACAACTTTAAACCCAAACTCATTTACATCAATTCTGTATGGCGGAATGGGCCAGAATTCCAGCCAATTATTGTGAGAGACTTGCGGAACGAAATCCAAGACATTTCACCCAACTCGAACAGTCTAAAAAGCAAGAGACAGTCCTACCTGAGAGGTGTGGAGCGCAGGAGGTGCTATCAGAGAGCAGGTGCTTCCGGAGAGGAGTTTCTTTCGGAGCAGAGGACGACTCTGTGGTCTGAATTGTGTGGATGATCTGCTCGTATTTATATTCACAGCTGTGGGAGGAGTCACTCTCTGATTCTCATAATTTCCACAGATAATTACAGGCTTAATTAAGTGTGCACCAATCTCTGAACGGTCTGTACCTGTCCTGAACAAATGACATGAATGACACATGCTTTAGATCTAATGCTATAATTAGAAGCAAATCAACTAAACTGAAGACACAAGCGAGATTCACAGAGGAACATCTCTGTGTGATTCACCCTCGCGGCTCCAGTCATTGATTCTGAACGACAATTATTCCGCAAAATTCTCTTTTTTGTTTAACTTTCAAATTGATGGAGAAGCAAGTAATGCATGCAAAAAAACATTCACAATCCAGTTATTCAATTCAATTACATTTATTTTTGTATAGCCCTAAATCACAACAGAACTTTAAAAAGTTGTTGATCTTAGATAAGAGAATCAAACAGTTCAAAAACATGAAAAGTCTTGTCACTGATTTTAAACGTGATGTTTGGGCTATCTGAAGGTTGAGGCCAACATATCTATTGGCGCCATGTCAGAAGCTGAGAGGAGCGTCCTTGATTTGTCTGGTATAGAATCACATGCAAACTGCAAAATCTCATGTCTTTTTACCAACAATAAAATGTCTCACTCACACACAGACACTCACACACAGACACACACACACAGATTTCAAGATTTCAAGATTTTATTTGTCAAACCAAGTGAATGGTTTGAAATTATATTTCTCTCATCCTTGATTGTGGAGCGGGGGGTGGGGGAAGAGGGGTTAGAAGGAGGGCAGGGAGTTCAGCTTCCTGATGGCCTTGTGAATGAAACTGTTTTTAAGTCGACTGGAACTGTTCCGTAAATTCTGCAGTCTCCTCCCTGAAGGCATTACCCTGAAGAGCCTGTGTGATGGGTGCGTAGGGTCCCTGGTGATTCTGACGGCTTTGCGGGTGAGACGGGTGGAGTACATGTCCTTAATGGTGGGGAGAAGGGCTCCACAGATCTTCTCTGCTGCTCTCACGATGCGCTGGAGGCTCCTTCGGCAGGAGGCAGTGCTGGTGCCCAGTGATGGATGCTCTCTACAGTCCCTCTGTAGAAGTTGCACACAACGGAGACACACACAGACACACACACACAGACACACACACAGACACTCACACACAGACACTCACACACAGACACTCACACACAGACACTCACACACAGACACACACACACAGACACTCACACACAGACACTCACACACAGACACTCACACACAGACACACACACACAGACACTCACACACAGACACTCACACACAGACACTCACACACACAGACACTCATACACAGACACACACAGACACTCACACACAGACACAGACACACACAGACACTCACACACACACACACACACACACACAGACACTCACACACAGACACTCACACACAGACACAGACACACACACACAGACACACACACACAGACACACACACACAGACACACACACACAGACACTCACACACAGACACTCACACACACAGACACTCACACACACACACACACACACAGACACTCACACACAGACACTCACACAGACACTCACACACAGACACACACACACAGACACTCACACACAGACACTCACACACACAGACACTCACACACAGACACTCACACACAGACACACACACACAGACACACACACACACACACACACACACACACACAGACACTCACACACAGACACTCACACACAGACACTCACACACACACACAGACACTCACACACAGACACTCACACACAGACACACACACACACACACACACACACACACACACACACACAGACACACACACACAGACACACACACACACAAACACACACACACACAGACACACACACACAGACACTCACACACAGACACTCACACATAGACACACACACACAGACACTCAAACAGACACTCACACACACAGACACACACAGACACACACACAGACACTCACACACAGACACACACACACAGACACACACACACACACACACACAGACACTCACACACAGACACTCACACATAGATACACACACACAGACACACACACACAGACACTCACACACAGACACTCACACATAGATACACACACACAGACACTCACACACAGACACACACACAGTAGAACACACATTTCAAAAACAATTACAAGGTGTTTGTAGATAAGACCAAAGGGCATTTTTATACATATTAAAGGAGGCTATAGAGCGGACAGAGGCGGGAGATTATTCCCGTCAAAAGGTGCTTTGTGGTGAAATGAAAATGTGCCTATTTATTTTTCGATTCTAGGTAATCTATAAAGTAATCTTTTAAGTGACATTAAACACCTTCTCACTGGGTCCACCTTCCTCACTGCAACCGGATCCAAACAACGAGAGGCGTGTACCTCTTAATTGTCCCCCACGGGTGTGAATAATTTGTTCTGTCCTCCACAGGAGGACTGCACAAAATTATCTATCAACATAATTACTATAGTGACACAGAGCTTTGAACTCACCGCTGAATTGTCAGCCATCTATACAGCTCATGTAAAAAAAAGTAGTAGTAGTTTACAACAATAATAATACATCTTTATTTATTAGGGGGGACCTAAACAACAGTAGGAATTTACAGTTTCACTAATTTGTGGCATAATTAATGTGTTAAATTGAATAGTTTATGATGTTATAGTCTGAGGATCCATTACTGAGTCCCTTGTTTAAAAAAACACTTGTGTTTGGGATGGGTTTGTGCCAGAAGTTCTGCATTAGTGTGAAGTGGTTAAAGATTTTCATTGATATTAAGAGATGGTTTATTTGACCCACAGTGGGGAAATGTCAGTGTTGCATCACGAATATCTGAACAGTGGGAACATGAGGTAAGTGAATATTAATCATAGCACAAAATTGTGACTTAAACATAAAATAAAATCTCTATCTTTAGCTTATTAAAGTCGGAAAAAAGAGTGTAGTTTTGAAAAGTGAATTAAGTTGAAATGTTGGAAACAACGTTTAAAATAATATATATCTTTGCCAAATCAAAGAGGGTCATCCCATGTTGACCCTTGTCAGTGAGAATGGGCTCTGTGCGACTGTGCAAACACTGAAGAAGAACTTGTGCAGTGAGAAAAGAGTCATTCAGTCTGAGTTGGACTCCGACACTGTTTTGGGTCGTTAACAGACCATCAACAACTTTATTCATAGGACTATCGTGAAGTGCAGTATTTCACATTGTATTGTTTTTGTAGATATTGGTGACATCTTTCAAAGCTACTGAGAGACAAAAGGACACCACAGATACATCCCTTTTCTTCCCCTTAATCCATTTCTGGGTCGGGGAGGTGGCAGTCTCATTAAGACCTGCAAAAACATTCACATGAAGAGTCAACAAATGTTGCATCACAAGAAACAGAAGAGTAGTAATGAGGAGTACACAACACAACTGAAGATTAAGTATAGCTCAACTCAATAAAAACCTCTACCTTTAACTTAAAAAAAGAACCAAAGAATAAACCTGTGTACCCAAGGGCAGGGGTCTCCAACCTGTAGCTTGGGAAAAATCAAAAAGTAATATACTTAATATGTCAGATTGTATTATTCTTATCATTACTCATTAATGTAAACGCACTCACTTTGTACACTAGTAACAGACATGTGATGATAAATAAAGAGTGTATCCAAAACCTGGCTTTTTCATACCTATATATCACCATTTTTTTCCCAAGGCAGCGTAGCTCTCTGCCTTTATAGCCCTGGTGAAGTAGCTCTCTGGGTGAAAAAGGTTGGAGACACACATACGTTTTGTGTGTAATTTGGTGATATTGTGTGAGGAGAAATCGTCATGTGTTTGAATTATGTTGAAAAGAGGTAAACAAATAAAAGAGATATTTTCTTCTTATCTGCTCCTTTTTCATTCATTTAACTGTGTGTACTCACTATACTTGTGTATTGTAACTGCACTTATACTTCATGCATACAGTAATTGTTAAGAACAAAAACACTCTTAACTGTCCTCCACAGCTCTACAGTATGTTCGGTGCTTCACTCACACCAGGCCGGTTCACGCCTTTTACAGTTTGGCTCCAGTCGTGGTGAGGAATGTGGTCACAGTGACATGCCGTGGCATTCAGTAATC